TGCCTGCCGCCAGCGCGCCCGCCGCCCTCTTCTTCCGAGGGAAAAGCACAGGGCGGAGCGGGCGGGATGAAGGAGCGAAGGACGGACTCCGAATCCAGCGGGAGCGGCTGTACACCGTTGGGGGGGGAGAGCGAGCGAGGGAGCGACTCTTTCAGCCGATTCCTCAGCTTCGCACCCACCCCTCGAATCGTTGGATCGCCTGCGGGATCCCTAACCCACAGCGGGCCCCGGCCCCTCCGCCTGCTCTTCATTGTGCACCGAGACGTCCAGGCAGCATGGGAGGCGGAGAGGTCCTCCCTCCCGACTGGCTTCCCTGCTTTCCCCGTCCCTCAACGCCCCCACCCCACCCCTTTCCTCGCTAAGGGAAACTAGGAACAAGCTTTTCATTCTCTTGGAAAGGAAACGAGGGCTCCGTGCCTGGCTCGGAGCTGATCCTCCCCCATCACTCATCGGAGAGGCAGCCCCGGGAGAAGTTCCGGCAGATTAGCCCCGACGGCTTCCCTCGCAACACAGGGCGGCGGGGAGTGCTTCTTTGCCTTTGCTATTCCTTTCCTTTCCCGATTCCGAGGATGCGGGGCTTTAACCTGGAAACTCAGACTCTGAAGCCAAGCGGTGTCCTTAAAACCACTTGAAGCAAAGTGGAATTTAAAAAAAAAGGATCAGATGATGGTGATAACATGAAGGGGGAGGGTGCATGTGTGAGCCCAAGGACTTAGATGGCGAACTCCTAGAGCAGGCAGACGCGTACGTTGCTTTGCAACCCTGAAAGGATCGCAGGCTCTGATGGCCATGCAAGCCCCACCACTCCAAGATATTTCACTGCCTGAGGCACAGCAGCAGGTGGTGGCCCTCGTGCATCCTCGTGTACCAATTTTCACTCTTAAAAGAATATAGATCAATAGATAGATAAAGCAAACATAATCTTCATTACTCTGCTGCCAGCCTCCACTGCTATCACTGGTGATGATATGTGCTTCCCAAATCCAAAGAATGCAGGTGGTGAGCAGAGATAAATACTTGCCTTCAGCTAGATTACATTCAATGGATTTGTGAATGCTTTGCCAACACTGTCACTCTGAATTGTTGGTGCCATCAGATCCTATTTATCTTTTCCAGGAGGAATGGCTGGGTCAGCTACCACTCGCCCCTTGGCATCTCTTGCTTCTGACCACTCACTTTGGCTAAGGATAGGGCAGGTTCTGATCAATGCAGTCTGCCAGAGATAGATAATTATTTGAAAGCCTTATAATCTTGTAATAATCTTAGAACTGCAGAGCTAGAAAGGAACTTATGGATCACCTCTTTATCAAGGAGGCACAGCGGGGAATCAAACTCTTAGTCTCTGGCTCCACACCCAGATGCCTAAACCACCATGGAGCTAACCTTATTTTTTCTAACTTCCAGACATAAAGACCTGAGAACAGTAGAAATAAACAAAGAGGAGACAAAAGCCAAGGCATGATTTTGAGACTGGGTTCACATATGCATGTACTGTATATCTTTCCCCTGCTCAACACTTGATACCCAACTCATTGTGTGAACTCATTGTGTGAAAATGCATTGTGTGTGTGTTGGGGGGGTGATATGTAGTGGATTTGACAGTTCTGCCTATGACCCACTGGCTCATTCACACATGCAAATCATTCCCTGCATGTGCTCTGGCCCTTAGGTGTTGTAAAGTTATATCTGGGATTGCTAGATCATGTTAAGCCACTCCATCAGTGGAATATAAACAAATTGAGTGTTGTTCAAAGCAAAATTCATGCCATACGTGGGCCTTCAAGCTGAGTCACAATAAATGTGCCAGTCTATAAGGTGCCACAGAGTCCTTTGTTGCACTCTCTACATTATAGCACTCATTTCTATGATTATCTAAACATAGGAAGACCAGAGAAAGAAGAATAAGGTGTGTGTGAGGGGGGGGGGAGAGTAAAAATAATTGCAAACACAAAGGTTTGAAGAACGATTGTTTGGCATTAATTATTGATATCAGTGTATTAGGGAACCCAGGGTGGCATGAAATTGCAAACAGCCCCACTCAGCCTAAGAGTAATGTGCCCAATGCGATACTGTTTGCTTGGGTGAATGAGTTTTTCTGCTCGCTCCCGAATTTCCAGTCGTCCCAGTAGGGGGAGCCGCGGATCTATGCAAAGCTGCGCGAGCCTCCGACGTGAGACTCCGGGGGAGAGATGCTCGGAGCTGAGACGCACGGTCGCGCCTACCCTTCCCGGGTCCTAGTCTAAAACTCTAAACTTTCCCGAGTGGACACGGGAGCGATGGGATCCGCGAGCCCGCCCAAGGAGCGGCAAGAAGCAACCCATCCCGGACTCTGCAGCAGCCCCTTCCTTTCTCAGCCAGAAGGGGGGGGGGCGAGTAGGTGTGAACCTTGGCTGTTGCAAAACGACTTATGTCCCTTTCATCGGGGGATAAGAGCCTGGGTCACGGACAGTAAGAGAAGGGAGAAGGATAGGGCGCATCACCGCCCTTGGCCACCGTTCTCCGGATTTTTTTTTAATTGGCCAAATAAATGCTTCCCCTTTTCCCCCCAAACTCAGGGCGCCGGCGGCGACGGGAGGGGGTGGAGTGTGAGTGAGTCTGCCTAAAAGAAAGCAGCTGGGGTGGAGGGAGCGATTTCTTGCCGATTTGATGCCGATGACACAGACTTTTCCCGTCACAGACGGAGCGAGGCCGGACCTTCCCCCCCGCCCGGTGACATTTTGGAGTTCTCCGGAGGGGCTGAGGCTGCCGAACTTTCCCGTCGCAAAACCACGGGCGGCTCGCCCTTCTCTACCCCCAGCAACAGAGCAGACAGAAACTCCCCTAGCTACCACCAAACACAAGACACATGAAAAGGAGACTCAAGAAGAAAAAGCAGGTCCCCACCCTGCCTTGAAGCATTAGCAATATGCCCGTGGAAGCAGACAAAACAATGCTCGCTTCCTCCACCACCACCACCACCACGCGCAAACCACTCTCCTTTCCCGGATCTCACTCTCCTTCTTTTCTCCCTCCCTCCCACCACTACCACACCCACCCCAATTTTTCCATGTTGCGTTCGCTTCTAACCTGCCAAGTCTTACTCAGTGCTGGACAGACTTTGTTCCCTCTCGGGAGGATGCGTTTTGCAATCCGGATCAGTAGGTCAGTTGAAAAAGAAAAGAAATCACACAAGAAAACTCTGTGTGTGTGTGTGTGTGTGTGAGAGAGAGAGAGAGAGAGAGAGAGAGAGAGAGAGAGAGAGAGAGAGAGAGAGAGAGAGAGAGAGAGAGAGAGAGAGAGAGAGAGAGAGAGAGAGAGAGAGAGAGAGAGAGAGAGAGAGAGAGAGAGAGAGAGAGAGAGAGAGAGAGAGAGAGAGAGAGAGAGAGAGAGAGAGAGAGAGAGAGAGAGAGAGAGAGAGAGAGAGAGAGAGAGAGAGAGAGAGAGAGAGAGAGAGAGAGAGACCCTTCTTTCAGGCACCTCAGGTCCGAAATCGGGGTAGGGGAGCGAAAGCGAGTCGAATGAATGGCTGCATGGCTGCAGAGATGAGCCTCAACATGAAATGTGACCATCACCTAGAGGACGGCGAAGCCTTGCTGGGCATAAAAGTTTTTCACCACGAGCCGCCCTGGAAAGAGGATTCAGATCACTTCCCAAAGGGGCTTTCCCCACCCGTTAAAAAGTCCTCGGTCCTTCTTCTTCCAAACAAACAAACAAACAAAAGCGGCGGTTCGACCGAGACGAGGGAAGTGGTCGGTGAACAAGAAGCATGGAAACGTTCCCTGAGACCAGCTAAAGCCGGCTGTGGGTTCAAAGGGGAGGCGAAGGGAGGAGAGGAGAGGAGGAGGAGGAAGCGCTCGGTTCCGTCGACCCTTGGGATTCTTTCTTCTCCCGATCGCCTGCTGGAGCGTCTGGAGACCCTCCCCCCCCCTTCAATTCTGCTGGGAACTCTCCCGAGACCACCCCAGCCCGGAGAGGAAGAAAACCTGCTCTCCAGGAATCCTCCCCAGCCAACCTCCGCGCGCGGGGCAGCCCCTGATCGGCCACCGACCCGACCCCGCTTCCCAGCAGCTCCTTCCTCCAGCGCTGCTTTGTGCCTTCAAACCGCCTACAAAAGACTTTGCGCCCTGCCACGCACGGTCCCGGAGCCTCCAAACTCCCATCCCGGTCTCCCTTGCTTTTCTGTGCCTCGGGCCACACGCACGCACGCACACACACATTACACACACACGGGTCCCCCTCCTTCTTTCCCATCGTCTTTGTTCTCGGCGCGCGCCCCTCCTTTCGTGGCTCTCCCCCGAGGGCCCCCCCTTAGTGTCCTTTCTGTAAAGATCCTTAAGTTTCTCAAGACCCTCCCCATCCCTTTAAGCTTTCTCCCAACTCTTTGTCTTACAGGTAAACCCGAGGATCCACCCGCAGCAAAGCAAAGGTGCCGGAAATCTCCCGCGCGCCCACGCCCCGTCCCCGCCGGCATCAGCAGACAAATGTACAAAAATAGGGAAAGGGTAAAATAGATCGCGTTACCTTTCAGCGCCTTTTGATGCAGCGAATGCCGACGGAAATGCAAAAAAGAAAAATGGGGGAACAGGAGCCCAAAGCGCCGCGCGCGCGCGCGTGGTTAATCCAGGGGTGCCCTCATGGAGCGAAGTCCCTTGCTGGAGTTGCTGGACCGGGCGGGGGGTCGCCTTCGGTCTCCTTCCTTCCGTCCTTCCGTCCTCCCCCTTTCCTTCCCTGCCCTCCCTTCCTCTTTGGCGTGCCCACCCCTCTCCCGGTGGCGAACACCTGATCCTTCCAGGCGGGGAAGTCTGGCGGGAGCTGTGGGCATCCAGAAGCCCCTCAGTCCGCTTTGCCTCGCAAGTTCAAATGCGGGCTCCGCCACCCATCATTATTATATCATTGGTACCGTCAGCGCTCCAGAGGAGGGGCCCTGCCCGGCCTCTCCGAGAGGAGGG